CTTTCCTACAACAACCTTTTCAAGTGCCGAGTAACCGTACATCGGCCTTCGCACCTGTATCTGGTATAGGTGGTGAGCCGAATCGGCATGTTCGATCGGTATCGGCATCAGATCTTTACCAAAGCGATGTGAGTGGTTTTTTGTTGAGAATGAACAATGTTCGTTTTGGAAGAGACAAATTTCGTCCTTGCAGCCGAATGCCTCGTATTCGCAAAGATCAGTGACTGGATCAACAGCAGGCTTTGATCGACTTCCGGCACACTATAGACATTCGAACAGACCTACTGTGATTCAACCAGGTGGGTGCTTTTTCTAACCTTTCTGTAGAAATTTGAGTAAGGGCGTCTCTCATAATAATAGACCTTCATTATTCAAAGATGGTATGTAAGTAGTTTATAAGAAGGGAAAGCAAAAGTAAAGTAAAAGGTTTAGGAAGACCGTCTGCCTCGTCTCCTTCAGCGCTGAGAAGGACGCAGTCGCCATCATCGCTGTATCGTCCTCCAAGTGCAACGAATCTTTTTGCCCCACCGAGGTAGTCCAAAGTTTCAACCTTTAGTGAAATTCAGTGAAGCTTTGAAGTTCTTAGAAAGAACACTTTACCATAGGTTTTTGTCATTTATCATTTAATTAGAGACAAATTTAGTTTAGTATCTCACAATAACAGAAAAGCCAATAAAAGCGCAAAAAAATCCCGTGTTAGGGACGTTTCGTAATTTATTCTCACCCTAATCAGCACACGTGCATGTTAAATCCGTTTTGGGAAATTTTGAAGGATTTCATGATTATAGGAAAAATATTTCTAGTTGCTTGTTCAGATCACCTAATCCACTTCAACAGCAAGGCTACAGTAGTGCTGGCTTGAGGGAAAGCAATCATGACATTTATAAGGCGGTAAGGCGTTGTCTTTTACTAAAATTTTTTGAAATCAAATTTATCCTTTCACTTATTCTTTCATACAATAGATTTCTTTCAAAATTAGAACGAAGCAGCTGGGCATCAAAAGCGTTGGTGCCTCTGAGGCTGCGGTTGTTATCTAAATTTAGTGGAAGAAGTAACTGAATCTTTAGGACTGATTGTTTGATCGCTATTGGCGGGTGTTATGTAATTTTCTTGGTATGATTAGTAAGTTATGCTTGAAAGCCACTGGAAGGTGTGAAAATAACTTTGTCGAAAAAAATCAGCCGTCAATCGTTTCGGAGTTTTGTAGAGATCCTTGCAAAGCAGCTATTTGTTAATTATCTTTTATCTAGTAATATCTTTTAGAGTCAAACCTCTTCACCG